ACACACATACAGCACACACACACACACGCGCGTACAGCACACACACACACGTACGACACACACGTACAGCACACACACACACACGTACAGCACACACACAACACACACACACACACACATACAGCACACACACACACAACACACACACACATACAACACACACATACACACACACACACATACACACACACACACATGATTTACAGCTAGTAGACTGATCCAGGGCGAGTCAAAGTCACAGTGTGAGTCACCAAAGAACAACATTTCTAAAAGTCGCAGTGTCTGCCTGGCTTTAGGAGAGTTATCCAGGGTTAGCTGTGTGTTTAGCAGAGTTGGAGTTAGCTGTCTTAAGTTAGCAGACTTAAATGAAGTTAGCTAGTTGCAGTTTTCATGATTTTAAGTTTAGTTCAAATATTTCGGTCCGCTGGTTTTGATAAGGCCGGCCCCCCTGTTGACTGTATGCCGCTGCTGACCCACCCTTGGGCCACCTATATTACTGTCCTGCATACAAAGTCTAACTAGTAAAACAGATTTTAAACATAGCTTTTGTTTATTTTGGAAGACAAACTAAGATAATTATTACAACCAACTAAGAGAAATAATAATAATAATATTAATAATTAACCCTTATATTCAATTATTTAGATAAAAAATGTTGCTGACAGTGTGCTACATTGGTTACAGCTGTATAACTGGCTTTATTTATGATATTACCGTTAAAATTAGCTACTAAACTAATTTACAAAGGACAACAAAAGAAAGAAATGAAGGAAAAATAAGTAAATCGGACTGCGAGTGAAAAATAAGTGATGAAAAGTGGTATCTTGTCTCTCACTTTGCTTAACTACCAGTTGGCCGCCCAGAGAAGAACAAAAAGCCAGTGGGCCGCCAGCTTTGCCACCAGTGGGCCAGCAGTGGGCCGCTGTCCTCTTGCTATCAGGGTATAGCTAACTTTGCTAAATGAAAATAGCTAAACTGAGCATGCAGGTTAATTTGTCTCTCACTAAAAATGTAGAAAAGTAAAGACAGTTATACCGTCTAATACAGTGTTTAGGCTCAACTTAGGCATTAGTTGAATTAGTGGAATAGTTAAATCCAGCTTTTAGCATTTTCGGTGCTACTGTGTGTAAGGTCAGCCTTTTAGAGGTCAGCACAGCCAGAGCAGCAGCGCTGCTGGTCAGATTTGCATGTTGAAGGTCACTAACTTGCATGCAAAATTTATTTCTGGAGTGTAACTTCATTTCCATTGAAATGAGTGTAATTGTGACAGAACTTAAGCGTGACTGAGTCTATCATAAGAACAATTAGGCATGTGCGGTTACAGACACTCTGATAAAAAAAAAAAATAATAACTATTTGATATTTAGTCTGACGTAGTGTCAGCCGTCGCTGTTTAGAGCTTAATACCCGCTGCTTTTTGTCGGGAACTGAGCGTAGTCGAAGTAACAGAGTTAGAAATGATTTCTGCTCATGTGAATCTCCTTCATAATTACAGTAATTGAGAGCGACAGACAGACACACACATGTTTAATGAAGCCTGGTGATGATGAGACAAAACAATGGAGGGAATGGGGGAGATTTCTGGCAGTGATTTTCTGAGATTGGCCTTCTGGTGTAATTACTTCTATTATGGCTGTTGTGACGAGTCAATGTCGGCTCGATATACACAATAACTACGGGCCTCCGGCAGTTTGGCTTTGTTAGAAATGAATGTTTTTTTACAGCGATATCTTAAAATGACAGACTCAAGCCGCTCTTTCTTTACTGCCTTAAACAAACATGTGAATAAGGGTGTTAAAGCTGCAGTCACACCACACAATAGCAGTTTGTGCTGCCTTGCAAAATGGCCTGTTCAGTCACGACGTTGGAGTTGAGGTCAGGGTCACTGGAGTTCCTCCACACCAGTCTCGTCAGGCCATGTCTTTATGGAGCTGCTTTGTGCACAGGGGCTCAGTCATGCTGGAACAGGAAAGGGTCTTCCCCAAACTGTTCCCACAAAGTTTAAAGCCTGTCATTGTCTAAAATACACCGATCAGGCATAACATCATGACCACCTCCTTGTTTCTACGCTCATTGTCCATTTTATCAGCTCCACTTACTATATAGGTGCACTTTGTAGTTCTACAGTTACAGACTGTAGTCCATCTGTTTCTCTGATACTTTGTTAGCCCCCTTTTACCCTGTTCTTCAGTGGTCAGGACCCCCATGGACCCTCACAGAGCAGGTACTATTTGGGTGGTGGATCATTCTCAGCACTGCAGTAACACTGATGTGGTGGTGGTGTGTTAGTGTGTGTTGTGCTGGTCTGAGTGGATCAGACACAGCAGTGCTGCTGGAGTTTTTAAACACTGTGTCCACTCACTGTCCACTCTATTAGACACTCCTACCTTGTCAGTCCACCTTGTAGATGTAAAGTCAGAGACGATAGCTCATCTGCTGCTGCACAGTTTGAGTTGGTCATCCTCTAGTCCTTCATCAGTGGTCACAGGACGCTGTTGGCTGGATGTTTTTGGTTGGTGGACTATTCTCAGTCCAGCAGTGACACTGAGGTGTTTTACATTCCTTCTGCTGAAGTTGCTTCCAAAGGCACGTGAGTGATGCAACAGAGGCTATCCATGCTGTGAGTTTGCCTGGTGCACCACTTTGTGGCTGAGCTGTTGTTGAGCTAGATGCTTGAATTTCACAATAATAGCTGGGTCATTCTACAGAAACGTCCACTTTTGAGTCCCTAGCATTTAGAGATATATTACAATTAAAAAACATGAGATATTAAAATTTAGATATTAAAATAATTTAGATATTAAAATAATGCAATAAGTTATTTTAACAATATCACCTTCTTGAACCATAAATTTAGCAATATTGGTTTTTAAATAAATTATCTAGAATTCCAAGCACCACAGAAGAGCTCGTCCCCACAGTCATGTTTAAAGGCTGAGGCCATATTTTGAAGAAAAAAACACGTTTTTCTGCAGTTTTAACTACAATAACCTATAAATGACTATGAAATCTATGAATTAAATGATATAAAGAAAACAAATGCCAAATAAATATTATAAAATATATAATGAAAGTTGTCTCCAGGAGTCGTGTCACTGGTGTTACCGCGTAACAAAAAACTCTTTTGAAATAAAAGTCACACTGATGACATCACTCGACTTCCTTTTACCTGTTTTCTGAGGATCTATGAAGAAAAGCTCATGGTGAGTCCACTGTGTCTTTCAGTTATCAGAGATTTTCTCATTCAGCTCATGATTTCATATGAAGCTTTTAGCTGAAGTCACTGGTGTGACCGACTTTATTCTGAGGTAACTGTGAAAAAATAGAATTCAAATGCATTAAATTCCATATTTTAGTGGATATTCCATGACTGACCACATGTGGTTTGATGCTCTGTAGCAGGTATTTTGTAAAATGCATTGTTCATTAAAAATGTCTCTGGTGTTTCCCTTTATTATGTGTAACACCAATGAGGATCAGTAACACCAGTGACTCCTATGGAGGGACAGAAAAGTGGACGTTTCTGTAGAATGACCCAGCACTTACAGTTGTCTGGGGCAGATCTAGCGGGACAGAAATTTCACAGACTGACTTGTGGCAGAGGTGACATCCTATGACAGCGCCATGTTTAAAATCACTGAGTTCTTCAGTACGAAGCCGTTGTGCTGCCAGTGTTTGTCTATGAGAATGCCTGTACCACACTAATGTTACAGTCTGCACTTTCTCCCCAATTTCTCCACTGGTTTCAACGAGCAACGAGTCAGACATAATTAATATGAAAGTACAGCATGCTTTTGTTATCGCCTTCAAGTTTATCTGTGATTTCTAACGGTTGATATTCTCTTTAACAGGCTGTTAAACAGATTCAGCCCCGATAGAATTAATTAGCAGCGCCGAGGCAGATAGCGGTGTGAATGTTAAAGACGATGTGAGGATCCTGTGGTGAAATAAAACATTGTGTTAAAAAACAATCTGAACACAAAGCCGGCAGTGCTGAGAGGAGCTAAGCGAACATCACAGTCTCAGTGGCTTAAACGCCGCTCACTTCAGCGGAAAGTCCTCAGAAGACCAGACATTCCTGCCTGTGAACAGGGTCACTGCTGTTTTCACTAATTAAACACCTGATGATGACTTAATGAGACTAATGAAGTCTGGGGACGACACTGCGCTGCCTTCAGCCTTCAAAATCCTCAACATAATTACATTTTACAGATTTAGAAGTTTCTTTAAAACAGTTAAGAAATGTTTGTGAAACAGCAGCTCACTCCCTGGCCATTTTATCAGAAACCCCTCCACCTTGCTGGTGTACGGTTAGAGACTGTTGACCATCTGTCTAGCTTCTAGCCCTTCATCAGTGGTCAGTTTCTTGACCACAGAGCCACTGGACCACTCTCTACCTAGCAGTGACTCGGACATGTGTAACACGTTCATACCAGCACCACACACACTACAGTGTCAGAGTCACTGCTGAGCTGAGAATAGTCCACCAACCAAATAATATCTGGACATCACCGGTCCTGTAGTCAGAAACTGACCAATGGTAAATGGGGTAAAGGGGGCTGATAGACTGCAGCAGCAGATAGACTACAGTCTGTAACTCTGCGTCTACAAAGTGGAGTTATAAGCTAGGTGTTTCTAATAAAGTGGCCATTGAGTGAAAGTACAAGGTAGTTTTTTCTAATAAAGTGGCCAGTTAGTGGAAGCACAAGGTGGGTGTTTCTAATAAAGTGGCCAGTTAGTGGAAGCACAAGGTGGGTGTTTCTAATAAAGTGGCCAGTGAGTGGAAGTGCAAGGTGGGTGTTTCTAATAAAGTGGCCAGTGAGTGGAAGCACAAGGTGGGTGTTTCTAGTAAAGTGGCCAGTGAGTGGAAACACAAGGTAGGTGTTTCTAATAAAGTGGCCAGTGAGTAGAAGTGGCAATTAAGATAACAGCAAGTTAACCAATGTATTTGTTTTTTCGTTCTCTCTCTCTCTCTCTCTCTCTCTCTCTCTCTCTCTCAGAGTTGACTCTGCAGCAGGCTCTGCACCAGTCCGTGTTTATGCCTTGCTCCACGCCATCTCCCAGCATGCCTCACTGCTGGGACCAGCACAGTAAACTCCTCCCATCGGTGGCTGGAATCACGGCCAGTAACGTGGCCACCTGGAGCGTGGAGCAGGTACGAGACTTCTCACAGTGATACCACTTCTCTGTGTTTTTTTAAGGATGTGAGGGCTGGACAATAAACAAGTGAGACAAGTAAAATATAGACGCCTTTGAACGTTGAAGCAGCTACAAGATGGATGGAGACAATCAGAGGAATCAGAAACCAGCCATTCAGAATCGTGAAGTCCCAAACAGAAGACAGGACATTCTGGAGAAACACTGTCCAGCCCTTAATAATAATCTCTGCCTTTCCAGCCACGTCTGAACAGTGTGTCCTTGGCAATATTCTCACATTCAGGCTCTGTTTCAGAGTAGCAAAGTGTAATATAACGTGCTCGCAAATACAAGCGAGCATGCATGTTTCTCTAAATTGTTAGTCTATTACAAGTGATGTAGTCTAATTCTTAGCATATTTTCTCCATATTTCCATGATGACACATAAACACCCAAAGACTGATTTCACTATCAAAATACCGGCACCTTATCCAAGTATTAGAGTACCTGTGCATGCCCTCACAACAGATTATATGAAATTCTACTGCAGAGTGGTTTTGTGTGAAATGCTTCATTATAGAGAAACTAGCTGAGTCAGAAGTGTTTACAGTGGTGGTGATAGGAATCAGACGTCCACCTCTAAAAGCTCCTCACAGAAAGTTACTACATGAAATGGTTATGAATTCACTGCCTGATGACTGAGACACTGTTTAATGATAGATTTGAGAAGATTTTGGCCTTAAACTCCATTCATGGTGGAGGGATACATAATATGCAGGACGCTGTGAGGCAAAATAGTCCCAAAAGAAAACTTATTATTTCAGATTTTCCACTATTTTCCATCATCAACATTCCATATAAACTCAGAAGACTCGTGTAGGTTCACTGGTGGTTCTGGATAGTAAATAAAATGTCTATATCTGTGTTGTAGTCATGGCGACCCCTGGTTCCTATCATCACCAGTATAAAGACATCTGAACCATTTCACACCAAACCACTCTGAATCTCTCTGTTTACATCTCACACACTGAATTATGCAGGAAATTTGGGGAAAAGTGGTGGAGTTCCCCTTTAACCCCTTACATGGCCAGGGCTTCTATAACCTAAGAGCAGTTTGCATTAAAGTCCCTGTAGGTACTGAATAATAAGGCTTAGTATGTAAAAGCCTGAGAGTTTTAAAGGGTTAAAGTGCCTCTCGAGATTTTCTCTATCGAGCTCCTGGTGATGATGATTATAATGATGTTTATCGTTTAACTAATGAAGCACTACAGTTTCAGTGTTGTGCTCTAATGAATAGACTTGTCTTACTTTCCCTGTTTCTCAGAGTTTTGGACTTCTCTGAGCACGCTCAGCTTCCTGCTTAAGAAAATAAAGATTTGCATAATGGTACATAAATTTAAAAAATGATTTCCTCACTGGATCGCATCTAAACTTGTAAATGTGCTCAGTGAAGAAAATCGCTTTAGGAAAACTCAGCTTCTCAGAGCTCATTTAAAAGTTTTCGATGATAAATTGAGGATGCATTTTTACATTAGTGCGCTTTCTGCGATGCACAAAACAGCTCCTGTTCATTTCATAACAGAAAAATACTGGCTGGGACGTTTCCTCTGGTTTGGCGCCTGAAACTCAAACATCCAGTCTGGACTCGTGATACAAAAGTGTCCATAAATATGTATCTGAAGATGTAATGGTCAAAATATTGTTGCATACAACACCTCATAAATCTCATAAATTATATTTGCGGATGGTAACATCCTCATAGATTCTGTTCAGTTTCGATTAAAGCATATTAACACATTTTATCCCCTTAAAAGGAAAAATTCCACCAATTCTTCAATATTTTTCCATAATTAAATGGTTGAGATGTAAACAAAGTCACTCAGGTGTGAAACGCTCTGTTCTAGAGAAACTTACCAAGTCAGAATTGTTCACAGTGGTGGTGATAGGAACCAGACGTCCACCTCTAAAAGCTCCCTCACAGAAAGTTACTACATGAAATGGTTATGAATTCACTGCCTGATGACTGAGACACTGTTTAATGATAGATTTGAGAAGATTTTGGCCTTAAACTCCATTCATGGTGGAGGGATACATAACATGCAGGGCGCTGTGAGGCAAAATAGTCCCAAAAGAAAACATATTATTTCAGATTTTCCACTATTTTCCATCATCAACATTCCATATAAACTCAGAAGACTCGTGTAGGTTCACTGGTGGTTCTGAATAGTAAATAAAATGTCTATATTTGTGTTGTAGTCATGGCGACCCCTGGTTCCTATCACCACCACTGTAAAGACATCTGAACCATTTCACACCAAACCACTCTGAATCTCTCCGTTTACACCTTAAACACTAAATCATGCAGAAATTTTTAAAAACATCAGCTCTGGACCTACAAAGCTAAAACATGGACAATATCCAGAAGACGAACTTGAGCCGAGTTCACTTGAGTTCATTTCACTCTGACTGTTTCCCCATTAAAGTGTCTGCAGTCTCCAGCTCTCCAGTGGCTGCTCCCTCACTGATGCTCTCTCTGTTGATCCACAGGTGACTGAGTTTATCCAGGGTCTGCCAGGCTGTAGGGAGCAAGTGCGCACTTTCAGGGAGGAGGTAATGAATTATGCTTCAGTCAGAACCACCATGTGGGCTCAAAGCAGAGTGACTTCACTCCAGCGGCCATAAATCACTCACTCATCACTGCTGGCAGCATCGAGGAAAATCCAATATTGCTCAAAAGGAAGCTGGTTAAATAATTCTATTGGAGCAATACTCTTATGGCCTTATATTATTCTCTATTTACATTATTTATTGACAGTGACAGAGAACAAAGTATCTGGGCGCATACACAGTCACTGAGTTTTCTCCTAGAGCTCAGACTTCTTTCTCAGACTGACCTGTAACTTCAGAAGTAACAGCACCGTGTGTTGATGTTTAATCTGCCGTAAACTACAATTCATAAGGTGTTTCTTATAATGCTGCCAGGTAGTGGAAGCACAAGGTGGGTGTTTACAATAAAGTGGCCAGTGAGTGGAGTAAATGTTGGGCGTTTCTGATAAAGTGGCCAGTTCATAAAAAACACAAGGTGGGTGTTTCTAATAAAGTGGCCAGTTAGTGGAAGCACAAGGTAGGTGTTTCTAATAAAGTGGCCACTTAGTGGAAGCACAAGGTAGGTTTTTCTAATAAAGTGGCCAGTTAGTGGAAGCACAAGGTAGGTGTTTCTAATAAAGTGGCCACTGAGTGGAAGCACAAGGTAGGTGTTTCTAATAAAGTGGCCACTTAGTGGAAGCACAAGGTAGGTGTTTCTAATAAAGTGGCCAGTTAGTGGAAGCACAAGGTGGGTGTTTCTAATAAAGTGGTCAGTTAGTGGAAGCACAAGGTAGGTGTTTCTAATAAAGTGGCCACTAAGTGGAAGCACAAGGTAGGTGTTTCTAATAAAGTGGCCAGTTAGTGGAAGCACAAGGTGGGTGTTTCTAATAAAGTGGCCAGTTAGTGGAAGCACAAGGTAGGTGTTTCTAATAAAGTGGCCAGTTAGTGGAAGCACAAGGTGGGTGTTTCTAATAAAGTGGCCAGTTAGTGGAAGCACAAGGTAGGTGTTTCTAATAAAGTGGCCACTTAGTGGAAGCACGAGGTAGGTGTTTCTAATAAAGTGGCCACTGAGTGGAAGCACGAGGTAGGTGTTTCTAATAAAGTGGCCACTTAGTGGAAGCACAGGGTAGGTTTTTCTAATAAAGTGGCCAGTTAGTGGAAGTACAAAGTGGGTGTTTCTAATAAAGTGGCCAGTTAGTGGAAGCACAAGGTGGGTGTTTCTAATAAAGTGGCCAGTTAGTGGAAGCACAAGGTGGGTGTTTCTAATAAAGTGGCCAGTTAGTGGAAGCACAAGGTGGGTGTTTCTAATAAAGTGGCCAGTTAGTGGAAGCACAAGGTAGGTGTTTCTAATAAAGTGGCCACTTAGTGGAAGCACAAGGTAGGTGTTTCTAATAAAGTGGCCACTGAGTGGAAGCACGAGGTAGGTGTTTCTAATAAAGTGGCCACTTAGTGGAAGCACAGGGTAGGTTTTTCTAATAAAGTGGCCAGTTAGTGGAAGTACAAAGTGGGTGTTTCTAATAAAGTGGCCAGTTAGTGGAAGCACAAGGTGGGTGTTTCTAATAAAGTGGCCAGTTAGTGGAAGCACAAGGTAGGTGTTTCTAATAAAGTGGTCAGTTAGTGGAAGCACAAGGTGGGTGTTTCTAATAAAGTGGTCAGTTAGTGGAAGCACAAGGTGGGTGTTTCTAATAAAGTGGTCAGTTAGTGGAAGCACAAGGTAGATGTTTCTAATAAAGTGGACTTACTGATTGATATGTTGTGTCTTTCCAGCAAATCGATGGCGAGGCGTTCCTACTGCTGACCCAGACTGACCTGGTGAAGATTTTGAGTATAAAGCTGGGTCCGGCGCTGAAGATCTATAACTCCATACTCATGTTTAAGACTGCAGAGAACTCTGCCTGCAATGAACTTTGACGTCCACTGGGACAGCAGACTCTGGCCAATGACCCTCACTCACCTGTGGTGAGGCCACAGCTTAACCTGAAGGGCTTTTAGAAGGAACAACACATTCAGAATGCAAGATCATATACAATACATATAGCTTTATAACTGATAACACCACAATCAAAGGTCACTGTCAGCTGTTTTTTTTGCACATTACTGTTTTGCTGGCATGAGAAATCCTGACCTGTCCAGGGTATGTCCTGCCTTCCACCCAGTGGCTGCTGGAATAGGCTTCAGCACCACCCCCCTGCCCCCGCAACCCAGAAGGATAAGCGGTTTAGAAAATGTGTGTGTGTGTGTGAGAGAGAGAAAACCTTGTATCTCAGAAATAATAACTTTTATAGGAGACAGAAAAACACTCAACATCTGCTGTTGTAGTTTAAAATGGAATTGCACTAGTTTTTAAAAATAACTGCATAATTTAGTGTTTAAGATGTGAACAGAGAGATTTAGAGTGGTTTGGTGTGAAATGGTTCAGATGTCTTTACAGTGGTGGTGATAGGAACCAGGGGTCGCCATGACTACAACACAAATATAGACATTTTATTTACTATCCAGAACCACCAGTGAACCTACACGAGTCTTCTGGGTTTATATGGAATGTTGATGATGGAAAATAGTGGAAAATCTGAAATAATAAGTTTTCTTCGGGGACTATTTTGCCTCACAGCACCCTGCATGTATCCCTCCACCATGAATGGATTAAAAATAAATGGGCTAAAACATATTTTAAGCCAAAACTTTGTCACAAAACAGCATCTCAGTCATCAGGCAGTGAATTCATAACCATTTCCTGTAGTAACTTTCTGTGAGGGAGCTTTTAGAGGTGGACGTCTGGTTCCTATCACCACCACTGTGAACAGTTCTGACTCGGTAAGTTTCTCTAGAACAGAGCGTTTCACACCAAACCACTCTGAATGACTCTGTTTACATCTTAACTAATTAATCAGTGCATATTTTTTAATAATAAGGTGGAATTCCACTCAAAAAAACTCTAGCTCATTCATAAGGACTGCCTACATTTTGAAATGGTGTGAAAAATAAATAGAAAACAGATCATGAAAAAGAATGACGGTTTTCTAACGACGAATTCTTTCACAGATGCATTATGAATGTTTTATGTAATGCACTGAAAAAATTGCTGCATTGAGTTCACTTGACTCAAATGTGCACATCATTTCCACATGAATAAAATATATTAATGTAATATATTAATATATCATCATCAGCTTTGTCTTTCAGATTACGCACTGCTGGAAATAATCGTGTTCGTATGTTTTATTCCAGTGCAAATGATGTATACATTTGAAGTCAGTCCACTGCATAATTTCTTTCAGTGCATTCTTCATATAGAGCTTCTGATGGTGATGATGATGATTTTACTGATGAAGCACTACAGTGCACACCAAATCGAATTCCCTGCTGAAGGCCTGGGTTTAATTCAAGGCACATGCACTGAAGAATTGCGCAGTCTTTTTTTGTTTATTTGTTTTAACGGCCAAAATGAGCTCTCAGCAACTCTGTGTAGATGATTTCCAGATTTAGTTCAGCTGCAGATTCATGTTCTTCATGATTTGGCGAAAAACAGAGCACCAAACTGAGAAAATAAGACATTGAACTGACTTGATTCCAATGTGTTCATCATTTCCATATAAATGATAAATAACATCAACACAGTTGCTGCCAAAAGTAAACTGAAATGATAGAAATGCTTAAATCAAGTCAATTCAATTCAGCACTTTTACGCTCGTTAAAAAGGTGGTTCTTTAAGGGTTCTTTGGAGAGGAAAATGGTTCTGTGCGTGATTAAAGAGTTGTGAAAGGGTTCCTCAGAATGTGTTGTAGATGGCTCTGTGATGCTACATATGGTCTAGGGTGCTATATAGAACCCTTTTCCAAAAGGTTATAAATAGAACCATCTTCAACACATTCTGTTGTAGGTGGTTCTATATATAACCTTTTTGAAAAGGGTTCTATATAGCACCTTAGACCACCCTAGACCATACATAAACCATAGATCATACATAGAACCATCTACAACACATTTGGTTCTATATAGCACCCAAAGCGTTCTTCTACTGTTATGATGTCAAGCTTGTAACAACATAAGAACCCTTTTTGGCTGCTGTATAGAACTACTTTCAAAAAGGTTCTGTATAGAACCACCTGCAGCACATTCTGGGGAACACTTTCTTAATGCAAAGAACCCTTTAGTCATGCAAAGGGTTTTGTGAGTGTTCATGGCTCATGGAACCATTTTCTTTACTGAAGAACCCTTGAAGAACCATCGTTTTAAAGAGGGTACAGTTCAGATCTGAATGCAGCAAAACAATGTGAGCAAGTTTACTGGAGCTTAATATGGTTTTAGATCTTTTTTTTCTTCATGGGAATGATGGAATGATATTAATCAGCCAGAAATATGAAGAAATATGAAGTTTATGAATAATCATGATATTGTACAACAGGCTAACAGGGTAAAACGCTCTTTTATTCTCCAAAAAGCAACACAATTTTCAGTCATTTCCACATTAATTAAATATATAACACCAAAACATTTTTGTCAAATGTAAGCAAACTGCTGTTGACATAATGTATAATATTCATAAGGCATTTCAGTGCATTTTGAGTGTACCTACAAAGGGGAATCCCACCAGTTTAAAAAAAAAATCTGCATAACTAAATCAGATGTAAACAGAGCCGTTCAGAGTGGTTTGGTGTGAGACGCTCCGTTCTAGAGAAACTTACGGAGTCAGAACTGTTCACAGTGGTGGTGATAGGAACCAGACGTCCACCTCTAAAAGCTCCCTCACAGAAAGTTACTACATGAAAATTTCAGCCTTAAAATCCATTCATGTTTCTATTTTCCCATCATCAACATTCCATATAAACTCAGAAGACTCGTGTAGGTTCACTGGTGGTTCTGGATAGTAAATAAAATGTCCATATTTGTGTTGTAGTCATGGTGACCCCTGGTTCCTATCACCACCACTGTAAAGACCTCTGAACCATTTCACACCAAACCGCTCTGAATCACTCTGTTTACATCTCACACACTGAATTAAACAGAAATGTAGAAAATTGGTGGATTTGCCCTTCAAATATTATATGTGTGGTTTTTTGAAAGCTGTTTAGATCTAAAACTGTTTAACATGTACTAATTAAACTTTAAAGGAATAGTGATCAATACCCCTCATAGTTGATCAGAGACGTGTTGTGTCTGTTGTTTGCTTCTTTAGCTTTGCACTGGAGCTACGAGGCTAAAGTAGCTACATAGGTAATGTACTGTTCTTCATGTTTATAGGTAACAGTGAGTCATACAGTGTCAGAAACCACATAAACCTGTTATAGATGACTGATCAACTCCACACAGTTTGAGACAACTGGGTGATGAATTACATTAGCACCATGCTAATTGACTAAAGCCAAGTCTTAAGTTTGACACCTGGTTAAAATGCGGAAAGAAATACCTTTTACTGTAATGCTAATTTCTGCTAGCGCCCATACTGGATTGTAATAGCATGTTAGCGCTAAGCTAATGGTGATTCACATGAACTTTGTTTTAGCTGTTCTAGGTTAAACGCAGACATTTAAAGCTTATAAAAGACATTCGATATATTTTATCTGACGCTTTTGACAGACTTTAAACATGTATGTATCAGTTTTACAGTGACTTCTGTCCAGCTCCTGAAGTCCTAACCAATGGGAGAGCAGCTAGCCTGTATTTACTTAGAAACCACAGAGAAAACAATCCCGATTGGCCAGTTTTCTGTTGGGTGTTTAACTCTTTTGTTTCCAACCAAAACAACAAAATACAAGTGTTTCTGCAATTCGTAGAGTGTAAATATAACAGGCATGATGAGTTTGTGAGTTTGTAAATAATAATGAACTAAAAGTTACAGACAGTATTTTTTTTTTTCCCAGACTGAATCAGGTCTTGTCTGGAGGCCTAGACGGCCCTGATTGTTCTCCCCTGTAGCTCTAAACTAAAAAAGCAAACCAGACACCAAACATGTCTTGGCTGATCAACTAAATTTAGACTGAATTAGATTCCTTTTGCGAAGCTATTGCTGTAAAGCTACAGCTCCAGGTTCAAAGCCGCAGCGGGTCACTCTGCCATCATCTGTCATGGAAATAAATGTGTCACGGCCCAGAAAAAGCCTCATTAAATGAAGGCCTGGCAGGTAGCACAGGTAAAGAAAATGAATTTATAAGCCGTCTTGAAAGGAACTTCTGGGTAAGTAGGACATATTTAGCATGAGTGTGATGTGTGTTTGGGGAAACGGCTCCCGCTGTCTGATTTATCAGTGCGGTGTTGACTGTGCAGACCAGATAAGAGCAAGAGAGGCCCAGAACACTAAAACCTCAGAGACTTGAACAAAGAGCAGACGGCCTTAATTCCACAGCTGGATTTGCTTTTAAACATGCTTTTGAGTCTGTGTTGTTATCAGGACTTCAGTAGGATTTCATGAATACTATGGGAAACAAAATTTCCCTGTCTTTTTTTAATAAATCAGGTTGGCAGCAATATCCAAATATGTTATTTAGAATTCATTGTCTCTGTGATGTCACTATATACACTATATTGCCAAAAGTATTCGCCCATCTGCCTTCACATGCATATGAACTTGAGTGACATCCCATTCTTAATCCATAGGGTTTAATATGATGTCGGCCCACCCTTTGCAGCTATAACAGCTTCAACTCTTCTGGGAAGGCTTTCCACAAGGTTTAGGAGTGTTTATGGGAATTTTTGACCATTCTTCCAGAAGCGCATTTGTGAGGTCAGACACTGATGTTGGACGAGAAGGCCTGGCTCGCAGTCTCCGCTCTAGTTCATCCCAAAGGTGTTCTATTGGGTTGAGGTCAGGACTCTGTGCAGGCCAGTCAAGTTCCTCCACACCAAACTCGCTCATCCATGTCTTTATGGACCTTGCTTTGTGCACTGGTGCGCAGTCATGCTGGAACAGGAAGGGGCCGTCCCCAAACTGTTCCCACAAAGTTGGGAGCATGAAATTGTCCAAAATCTCTTGGTCTGCTGAAGCATTAAGAGTTCCTTTCACTGGAACTAAGGGGCCGAGCCCAACTCCTGAAAAACACCCCCACACCGTAATCCCCCCTCCACCAAACTTTACACTTGGCACAATGCAGTCAGACAAGTACCGTCTCCTGGCAACCGCCAAACCCAGACTTGTCCATCGGATTGCCAGACGGAGAAGCGTGATTGGTCACTCCAGAGAACACGTCTCCACTGCTCTAGAGTCCAGTCGACGCTTTACACCACTGCATTCGACGCTTTGCATTGCGCTTGGTGATGTAAGGCTTGGATGCAGCTGCTCGGCCAATGAAACCCATTCCATGAAGCTCTCTACGCTGTTCTTGAGCTGATCTGAAGGCCACATGAAGTTTGGAGGTCTGTAGCGATTGGCTCTGCAGAAAGTTGGTGACCTCTGCGCACTATGAGCCTCAGCATCCGCTGACCCCGCGCTGT